CCAGAGATGAAGTGTCACATGTGAGCAACCAGAAGTAAGTGAGTTTTGCTGGATCGTACAGTGCTGAGCAGGGAGTAAAGTATAAGAAAACTAGAAAGATAGGTAATAGGTTTTAAAGAACTGTAATAGTCGAGCAGAGGACTTTATATTTTATCCTAGAAGTAATAAAAGGCCATTGGAATGAATTGAGTTGTATGTATTAAGTAGATAAGTGCCATGGGCAAATCTATGCTTTAGGAAAAACACTTTGGCAGCCAAGTGGAGGATGGATTGGAGTGGGCAGTGGAGTGGAGTGTTGGGGCAGGGGTACCTTTTAGAAGGCTATTACAAACAAAAAAAAAAGTGGTCAAAGGATATGAACAAACAGCTCTTAAAAAAAATTGTAAACTCGTAACGACCACATGAAAGGATATCCCAAATCACTAAAAGAAGATATAAAAATCAAAACAACTCTGATCTTTTACTTCATTCTCAGCAAATTAGCAAAAATGACAAAAGATGAGAATTGACAGTGTTAAGAGATGTGGAAAGGCAAATATGCTAATTAATGCAATATGGGTAGAGCTGTGAATAGGTATAACCATTCGGAGAAGTAGCTTGGAATTATGCAAATAAAGTGACTAAAACATCCATAGCCTTTCACCCAGAGATTGATTCCATTACCTAGGTATCTACTACCAAGGAAGTCATTGACAAAAAGAAAGACTCTACTTGTGCCAAAATATTTATAGCAGTACTTTTTGTGATAGCAATGAATGGGAAACTGAGTAGATACCCATTATTTGGACAGCGGCTAAACAAATCGTGATACATGAAAGTAATGGAATATGACTATACTGTAAGAAATGAGCATGATGAATACAGAGGAGCATGAAAAGACATATTTGAACTACCTCAGAATAAATAAACTGGAGTCAACAATGTACACAATGACTCCAACAATGTAAATGGATAGAACAAGTATAGAAGAATTAAAATTGAATGTTTCTAAATGATAAAGATCAAGGTTGGCCCCAGAAAAGAGATGTGAGAAGATACCCCCTGCATATCAAAAACTCCTTTACTGCGATATAGGTCCATAGGTGTGGAGCATTGTATATAATGTCAGATTTATTTGATACAGTGATTGGTTTTGCTATTTTTTTCTGTTCTTCCTCTTCTTTGTTTTATTCTTTATTATATTTATTCTCTAAGTGGGAGAAGTAGAGGGATACAAGAGAAAATGTAGGTGATGTAAAAACAAGATATGTTGGTAAAGTCTATTAAAAAATAAAAACAAACAAAATCTAAAAGGAAGGCTATGCATGATAAGGGTCTTAACTAAGGAGGTGGCTTTGTAAGTGAAGAGAAGGGGATGAATAGGAGAAAGGTCATGGAGGCAGAGATGACAAGATTTGGCAATAGATTAGAGAAGCTTGGTGAATGAGAGGAAGGAATTGAGGATAATACAGAAGTTTCAAGCCTGGGTGACTGGGAGGATGGTGGTGCCATTGGGAAGAGGAGAAGGTATGGGTGGGGGAGGATGACTTCTGTTTTGGAAGAGGGGAAGGAGGAAGGGAACAAGCATTTATTAAGTGCCAGGCACTGTGTTAAGTGCTTTACAAATATTATCTCATTTGGATATGTGGAGTTCAATATGTCCAGAAGGTGATGTGAAACTGGAGCTCAGGACTGAGTCAAGGGCTGGCTATATAGATCTAGAAATCATTTGCATAAAGATGATAATCGGACCTATGGGAATTGGTGAGGTCATCAAGTGGATAGTAGAGAGATAAAAGAAAAGAGGGCCCAGGACGGAGCCTTGGAAACATCCACCATAAGTGGTAATGAGCTGGATACCAGAAAGGAGACTGAGAAGGAGCAGTCAGTACATAGGAGGAGAATCAGAGTAGTTATACAAAAATCTAGAGATATTTGAGTATCCAAGAAAAGAAGATCAACAGTGTCAAATGCTGCAAAAATGTCCAGAAGTGTGAGGATTGTGAACAGGCCATTATTTTTTAATAATTAAGAGATCACTGGTAACTTTGGAGAGGGAAGTTTCTATTAAAAGAGGGCAGATAGCAGATCGCAGAGGGTTAAAAAGAGAGTGAGGAGAGGAAGTGAAGGCATCTAGTATAGATAGTTTTTTTTTTTCCAAGAAGTATAGTTAAAAAGGGGAACTGAGATATGGAATTGTTAACAGGATTTTACTGAGCCACTCTCTAACCTGAGAATGAGGAAACAGCAGGCCAGACAGGGCCAGTAATCAGGTAACTGTTCAATTAATTAGTTTCATTATGAGGAACAGATTTGCAAATCAGGAATTCTCCTGGTCAGAATTGCGCCTTGCTGAAAAGAAGACAGAGATCATATACATAAATCACAATGGGAAGAGAGAGGAGAAAGTGGATTACAAGCAATTGTTTCCAGGGCTTGAAGGTCTCCCATGATAAGCCCATAAATGGAAGACAATACAACAATTTCGGAGTCCCATGGGAACAATATTGCTCAAGTTTTTGAGGGTTGTTAATTGGTTGGTCACACGACCACAGTTCTGCCACAGGGAACAGGTTCTACAATCTTTGATTCACTTCACTTAAGGTATCCAGGCACTAGAATGCAGTGTTCTCAAAGTTTTCATTGATCATTTCAAGCTACATTGTGAGCTGACTCACAGGCTAGAAAAGGCAATTCTGAAAAATCTAATCTATTAGTATATTCATGACACGTATCATATCATTTAATATGAAAAATCCTAATTCCCTTCACAGAATGATAGCTAGCCAGGATGACAGATAAGTGAGGTTTTGGGTTTGGTTTGGTTTGGTTTTGAGATGAGGAATACATGGTTATATTTTATGAGCATCAGGGAAGAAATCAGTAGATTGGGAGAGATTGAAGATCATAGTGAGTGAGGATGATGGTGAGGGCAATCTGCTGAAAAAAATTAGAGGAGAAGTAATCAAGGGTATTTGTATTAGCATTGGCCAGAAGAGCCACTACCTCATCTGGTACTGGAGTAAAAGAAGAGATGGGAAAACATACATGAAAGATGTGAGATAGGCAAAAAGAAGAGGGAACTCTCAGTAAATGGCTTCAATTTTCTTAAAGAACTCATAAGGAGACATCCCTAGCACAGAAGATGGGGGAAGATGGTTGGGATATCTGAAGTGGAGAGTGAGGTAATGAGTCAATTAAGTAGTAGAATGATGTTCTTGCTTAATGAGGGCCCAGTTGAGATTAGAAAGTAGTGGACCTAATTGGCTTGGTTATAGGATTTTTTTTCCAGCTCTAGTCAGCAGCCTATGACCAGGAGGGAAGAAGGTGGATGATGGGAGTAATACTGGGTTCAGATCAGCAAAGCATGGTCAGCAAAAAGGCAAGAGATTGAGAATATGGCAGTGTCAGATTGAATTGGTTCACCCAAAAGTTGAGATGGAAAGGATAGGAGGAGAGTGTTGTCAGTCATTGTAGGGGTAATCCCTCTGAAAGAATGGAAAGGAGTAATGAGATTGTTGAGGTTTAGAGTTAGAAGAGCTGGTTCAGGTGTGAAAGAATTCACTTAGACCTTCTCTGTAACCATTGGTAGCTTTATTGATGCTAAAGCAGCCATCTAGCTCTGGAAAGAGGACTAGCAACTTACGGAGGGATATGGGTCTGTTTTATCTTACAAGATAAGTGTAGAGATTGTCATGACACAGGATGAGGAAGATGGATGACAGGATAGGGGACCCAGGCTAAGGAAGACAGAGGAAATTTTATGACTCATTTTTATGGTCCAGGATGGAGGGAAGTTTTATGGTATCTCAAGAGAAGGGAAAGAGACTTTAGGATGCCCTCAAGGTCAGGAGGGGCCTCACAAGGTGCTGGAAAAACAACCCTTAATTAAAATTTGTTTCTTTTAAAAGCTTTTAGCTTTTAGGGCACTGTTTGCTTTTACATCAAGATCACAATGAAAATAAAGAGCAGGGTCAGGTTTTGTAAAGTATAGGGGAAAAGGGAAGCATAAAAGATTATGATCATGTAAAGGAATTTTTGATTCATGAAAGTGGAAATACAACACTTATAGGTGATGGCAAAATCAAGAGTATGAACATTCTTGTGTGAACTGAAGTGCAATGGAGTGCAATGGAAACTGAGTTGCTAGAAGAACTTGTCAATTGGTTATTTGAGAGAGCATCAATCTATATGACGAAGTCCCCTAGTGTGAGGGTTAGAGTTGGGGTGGGCAACTAGGTGCCACAGTGGATAGAGTGCAGGGCCTTGAGTTGGAAAGACTCATCTTCCTGTGTTCCATTCTGGCCTCAGACACTTACTAACTGTGTGAGGGTAAATCACTTAACCTATATGCCTCAGTTTACTCATCTGTAAAATGACCTGGAGAAGGAAATGACAAACCACTCCAGTATTTTTGCCAAGAAAATCTCAAATGGGGTCATGAGCGCTTAGCACAGGGCCTGGTACATAGAAGGCGCTTAATAAATGCTTGTTGACTGCCTGATATTGATTTACTATATGCCAGGCCCTGTGCTATGCGCCCGGGATACAAAGGCTTAGGAAGTTAGGAGGAGCATAAGCATGGATGTTAAAGGATAGTATGGGAGGAGGGAAAGCCAGGAAGAAGGACAGAATGACCCTAAGAGGGTTATGCCGCAGGGCAGAAACCGAACTCTGCTTTGATACTGTGAACATCGAAAAGAGGCTGCGGACTGTCAGGGTCGAAGGGAGAGTCTGAAAGGGGCAGTGCAGAACGAGTCGCAATTAATCCTCCCCCGCAAATGAAAGTAGAGCTGGGGCTCCAAACTGATTATTCTCATATTTACCAAAGGCCAGCTCCTTTCCACTATACCAAACTGCCCCAGCTATCCCCCTACTATCTTCTTGCTCTCCCCTCCTTTTTCTTAACACTCTTGGTACCTTCCAGATTGCGAAACCAGCAAGAACGGAAGCAGGCCGACCGAGGGCGGTGGGGGGGGCGGGAGCTGTTGCTCTGGGTAACGGAAGTGAGGTCAGCGCGGTCTCCAGTTTAGCGGGAGATTCGGAGTCTGCCAGCGGCTGTTAGGCAAAAGTGACCCGCTAGAAACTTGGGGACCCCTGGGTTCGAGCAGTAGCCGTGCTTTTGAGTGTCCCACCCGGCGACAAGCCTGGGCTCATTAGCTCCAGCGGTTCGGGAGCCCGGTAATGGGGGACGGCTTGGGGCGCAGGGCTGAGGTGGGGTCTCCAGTCCCCTAGTATTTGGCGCTTCTCATGCCCGGGCCTGCCTGCGGGAGGGCAAAGGGGGAGGGGGGGAAACCCAGCATCAGCCCTAACTCTCTGGCCTTGAAGGGATTTTGTCTGATCCCCTCCACCCCACCCCCACTCTAGACTGTAGACTCCCTGAAGCCAGGAGCTGTTTACCGCAGCTGTCTCTCTTTTCCCCCTCTTTCCGTGGCCTAGTGTCTTGTTCTGCACACAGACGCTGCAGGCGTGTTTAGAGTGAGGAGCCACCGACCGACCGGAAGAAGCTAATTGCTCCAAGAAACAGCCCCTCCTCCCTTTTAAATTAAGAGATGGAAAGAACTCAAAAAGTCACCCCGTTTAACCCTTTCATTCTATAGATGAGGAAGCTGAGACCCAGAGAGGTTCAGTGAGTTGCACATGCTTGTACAGTGCTCTCAGTGGCAGAGAGGAACCAGGCCTAGAACCCAACTCTGTGTACTCCCACAAAGCCCAGCTCACCTACTTCCTAATCCCCAGGTTCCAGGTTGATCAGAATATTGTCACCTGAATGAGAGTGTGGAAGTCCCTGACAGGCCTTCCAGGTGGATTGAGAACCTCAGTGACTTGCTAGTTCAGCTCCCTGTTGCCAGTTATGGATGTTCGTGAATTTGGGCAGATCATTTATCTGTTGTTTGCTTTAGTGTCTAGTAAATCCCTGTAAGTATTTGTTGATTTGTATTGAATTTAACTTCTCTCCTAATATAAGCTTCACCTCACGTCTTCTCTAAGGTGTCATCCCCCTCCTTCCATCCCGAGGCATCTTGACTAGAAACTTTGGAGTCATGTTTGATTCCACCTTATTCTTCCAGATCCAATCAGTATTCATGCCTTAGTTTAACTTCCTGTTGCTTCTAAGATTTGTCTCTTGCTTTCCAACTGTTATTACACTATCTTGGTCTTTATCATGTGGATTTCAGTAATTGCTAATTGCTAAGTCAAGTCTCTTTTTCTCTGGTTTTATTTACATTCACTCCCCCTCCCCCCCAATTTATCTTTCTAAAACACTGCTTTTATCTTGTCACTTCCCTGCCCTAAGTGAGGAAGGTCTGTGTAAAGTCACCAGTTGCATGTCATGGCATCACCTCCCTGATGTCATGGTCCTCTTCGAGAAGGAAGGACAAACAGCAGCAACCCCTGCCCTAAACCTCCAGGAGTTCACCAATGGCTACAGTACTGATAGTTCCCCAATTTTTTTTTTCTCAAGGCACAATTTCTTTGCCATGTTGTATCATAGCACCCAGGACATTTACGTTTGCAAGAGAAGAGGATTCTTAGGCAGTCCATCTGGATCTTTGGATTCCCTTGCCTCTCCTTCAACATTTTCTCCTCTTATTTATTGTCTTAGACCTCACAACAGAGGAAGTGGCTTGCTACTTTGGATAAAGCTGCAGTTGTAACCTTCCCAGTGCCAAGCCAGATTGAGCAGACAGCAAACTACACCTGGAACTGGTGTCAGGGATTTTGTCACACAAAATTAGGAAATTATCATGCTATGGGATACTTTGAGAACCATTGGCCTACAGGATAAACTCCTTACTCTGGCTTTTGAGACCTTCCTCAATTTGTCCCTACCCTTCCAACTTTACCTCCCACTGCTCCTCACCTTGAAATTTCCATTCCAGCTGAGCTATTCTACTTTTCCTTCACAAGCACAATTTGTTAATTCCTGTCCCTATGCCTTTGTTCATGTTGTTGCTACCTGTCCCACTTCACAAGCCTTGCCTGATTGTCCCAGCAGAGTGTCTGTAGCTCTTTTGTATGCCACAGCACCTTGCATATTGTCTTGTATCATTAGTTATTTATATTCAGCTAGTCCAACAAAGATTCATGAATTATACACTTTTGTAGTTCTCAATATCTTGCATATAGTAGGCGCTAGGTGCTCTGTAAATATCTGCGGTTTATAGAATTCATCTGTGAACTCTTAACCATAAAGTTTAACCTCTTATTACTAGAGTATGCTACAAGTGGTTGGTATATTGTTCTGGGTGTGTCCTGAACCATGCAGTGAATGCACTGCAAGGCCACACATAAAATTATAAATAACTTATAGTCCTTAGATATTGACAACTTGGAATAGTTTTCCTATTCCTTTTTTAAGATGATACTAAAGTCCAGAGGTGATCTTTGTCTTTTTTTTTTTTTAAGGCAGTTGGGGTTAAGTGACTTGCCCAGGGTCACACAGTTAGTGTCAAGTGTTTGATCTGAGGTCGCATTTGAACTCAGGTTCTCCTGACTTCAGGGCCAGCGCTCTATGCACTGTGCCACCTACCTGCCCTTGATCTTTGTCTTTTTAAGACTGTTTTCTGTGCCAATAAGATAAAGTAATTAAAGCTATGTCAGGGCTGATGTCCCTAGAAAAAATGTTAGACTTTGGGGTGAAATTTTAAGTTTGTAAAAGCCTACTTCACATTCATACTAAGTGGCAGTGCAGTAATAATAATTGCTGGCATTTGTATAGTGCTTTAAGGTTTACAAAGTACTTTATAAATATTTCATTTTCTCCTCACAGCATCCTTGGGAGGTAGATGTTTTTATCCCTATTTTACCGATGAGAAAACTAAGGCAAATAGTGGTTAAGTTATTTGCCCAGGGGTATAATGCTAGTAAGTATCTGAAGCTACATTTGAACTTAGGTTGTCCTGACTCCAGGTCCAGCACAGTCTCCACTGTGCTATTGTGACCAGTCTAGTAGTTCTTTATCCTGAATAAAAGCCATGAAAGTTGGGGAAGTCTAGAGACTGTTTTCAATGGATTAAAAATAAGAATACTTTGTTTTTCTGGAGGTGAGGAAAGAGAAACAGTCTTGGTAACCTGCCAGCATCTCTTTCAGCTCTGGGATTCTGGGAAAATCAAGCCCTCATATAATGCACTTTCTCTGCAGTTCCCTGAGATGAGCTACAATGGACCAGAAAATTATCTCTCTAGCAGCAGAAAAAACAGCAGAGAAGCTGCAAGAATTTCTGCAGTGCCTGAAAGATGATGAGGTGAGTATGAAGATTCCAATTGTTATTATTGATGGGAAAATCCTATTATAAGTTTTTAGTAGGTACTAAAATGCTGTATTATGTAAATGCAAAATAATGACAGTAAAAGGACAACTAATCTTTGATCATCAAACTTTGGTTTTCCTGAAATATGAGAAGAGAGGACAAGAATGTAAGTAATTTATACATGAATGAAAATTTCTTTGATGTTCTGTGATATCATCAATGTGTATATTTGCTGGAGTGATGCCTTTTCCTCCTTAACCCCTCCTGTTCATAACTTCACATGCACCCTTTGCTGGGGCCCCCTCAGTAGACCAGGGGCTTCCTCCTGACCTTTGATATGATCAGAATCTGCCCAGTAGAGCACATAGGCCATCTATTTGGGATCCCTGGCTCTTGCTTCCTGAGTGGCCCATCTCTTTTCCCACCTCATAGATTTCTTGGATGAAGTCTTTCTTACCATTTCTTGACTTGTCAAGATTGATATGATTCAGTTCCTCCAAAATTGAGTTCACTGCTTGTTCACCAGCCAAGTCTCTCACATTCTGAATACTAACAATTAAGCTAATGTGTAGAGATAGTTTGAAAACTGATTTTTAGTGCCTTCTATCTCTTTCTCTACCATTCTACCACTATTGCAATCATGGTTAAGTACAAGGTGAATGAAGCTGAGAGTTTTTAATGTGTTGGTGCTACAGTAATTGAAAATGACATAGATCTATTCTATACTACGTTGTGGCAGCACCTACTGAACATTAACATAGAGTTTTACTCTTAATTATTCTTTGAAACATGCTAAACCGATTTTGTAGCATCATACTGTTTATTTGCATGAATTATGATTATTTTACAGGGATAAAATAAAAAAGGTTGGGTTAACAACAGCATTTTATTAAAATTACCCCCACTGCCCTATTTTTTTAAGAAATGAGGGAAATGATGAGCAAGCAGACTTCAAAAAAACCTGGAAAGACTTGTGTGGACTGATGCTGAGTGAAGTGAGCAAAACCAGGAGAACTTTGTACATAGCAAGAGCCACATTGTGCAATGACTAACTTTGATAAACTTAATCCTTCTCAGCAATGCAAGGATCTAAGACATCTCCAAAAGTCTCGTGATGGGAAATGCTATCCACATCCAAAGAAAGAACTATGGAGTTTGAATGCAGATTGAAGCATACTATTTGCTCTTTTTTTTCTTCTGTCTTGTTTCCTCTTTCTTAGAACCTATTGGTTCTAATTCTTCTTTACAACATGACTAATGTGAAAATATGTTTAATAGGAATGTATATGTAGAGGCTATATCAGATTGCACACTGTCTTGGGGAAGGAGGTGGGAAGGGGGGGAGAAAATTTAAAACTCAAAAGCTTATGGAAGTGATTGTTGAAAACTAATCATAAATAAATTATTAAAAAAAAAAAAGAAATGAGGGTAGAAATCTGTGCCTAACCAGGTATATCTTTTATGTAATTTTTACTAGAGAAAGATGTTTCTTACCATTACCTAAAATTTGAAATCATTCTTTTTTTGGTTACAGCTAACTAGTCTCCTTCAGAAGCATGCAGTGAAAGGAAAATCACCTGGAGCACTGCTGAAAGGCATCTTCAAGGGTAATAATAATGATGATGATGATATAGCCATTTCCTAAAAGTGGCTTAAATAACTGCCTTATTTCTCTGGTTAGTTGTTGGATTTGTTTACTGTGAAAATGTATAAATTTTACTATTTTCTCGACTGTTTGTCCTTCTCTCTTCACTCTCCCAAAGGGCATTTTGTGCACCCAGGCGTGGTTTTGTAAAATCAACTAGGACCACAGAACAAATGAAAGGATAATTCAGATTTGTTGTTACAGTTGTTGGTTTAAAAAAATCTTATTGGATAAGATTCAAATGTTGTTGGTTTATTGGTAATCAGAGGAAGATTTTTACCAACCATTCCCCTTGATTTGGTGTCTTTAGAAGTGTGTTTAAGGCAATAATAGTAATTGCTACCTGATCTCTACCTTATTTGAAGCTAAGGAGCCCTAGAGTTTAAGAAAATACTTTATCCAGTCTTTTTTCTTAAAAGCAGGTAGAGCTCTTTTATTTCTACCTTTTAAACAGGTTCCAGTTCTACAGCAGCAAAAGTCTGTCTCATACTCTTAGAGGTGGGCATGTGTACTGGAAAATGGCACAATGGTATGAGATGTAACAGTGAAATTGAAAAATGGTTTTGGGCTCTTAGCAAGTACTCTTTGTTTTTTTTGTTTTTTTGTTTTTTTGGTTTTTTTTTTTTTTTTCAGTAAAAACATCCTTTGCTGCAGAGTAGCAGTCTCCCACTTTTCATGAGAGAAATTTTAAAATAGTTTGAGTTCACATTTATGGAAACTTGAACTGTCTTTAATCCCTTCTTCTCTCACTGTTCATCCCATGGTAAATTCCACCCAAGAGTACCTCCACTGTCTGCCTTCTCTGTGCCTTCTCATGTACTGCTAAGGAAATCACACAACCAGGCTGACTAGGTCCTTTACAAATTTGTGTTTTCATAGCTCAACTGGATCCTTATTACTGCAAAGCAATAAGTTTATTTTTCCTTAATGCAGACTCTATTGCACTACCTGCTAGGCTTGTTTCAAACATTTCTTCTTTCCTTAGACCTTCTATACAATTTTTTTGTCCCTTTCCTCTCGTTTGCAAACCTTAAAAAATACTTTACTGAGAAATTAGACACTATTTTCTGTGAACTCTTTCTCCCCTACATCTTAAAACCCCATAACAAACCCCCCCCCCAACATTCTTCCTCCAGTATGATGAAGGAGTAGCCTTCTCTCAAAGGCTAACTAAAGACTTATACCCTGGATCTTATTCCCTCTGTTTGAGCAGATTGCCCGTGCAACTATTCTGTCCCTCCCTAATCTTAAAATTTTATCTCTGGCTCCCTCCCTGCTTTCTCACGCCCAGGTCTCTCTCTTTAAAAACAAACAAACAAACAAGCAAAAAACTTTACTTGACCCCTTAAGTTATCATCCTAAACATCTTCCTTTTACAGCTAAACTCTTAGAAAAAGCCCCTTGCAGTCTGCTTCTGATCCCATCGCTTAATTGAAACTGATCTCTCCAACATTACCAATGATTTCTTAATAGCCAAATCCAGTGGTCTTTTCTCAGTTCTTGTTTTTCTTGAGCTATGCAGTGTTTGACTCTATTGATTACCTTGTCCTCCTGGATAGTCTCTCCTCTGGGTTTTCGTGACATTGCGTTTTCCTCCTATCTATCTGATTACTTCTCTGTTTCCTTTTCTGATTTCTCCATATCATGTCTCCTACTTATGGGTATAGTCCAGGGTTCTTTCCTGGACCCTATTGTATTTCTACATCCTCCTTGTCAGCTATCTCATTGGCTCATTTATCATCTCTGGGCAGTTCACTCCGAAAACTCTATATCCAACCTTTCCCCTGAGATTCTGCATATGCAGCTGCTTTTGAACATTTCCCACTGGTTGTCCTGTGGTAATTCATACTCATTATGATTAAAGCAATGCCTCTTTATCCCTATATTTCTCCTTTTTCTAACCTGTTTCTGTCAAAGTAAACATAACATCATCCTTCTAGCCATGCTGGTTTGCAGTCTTGGAGTCATTCTTAGTTTTTCATTTTCCCTTACTTTTCATGTCCAATCAGTTGTCAAGACTTGTTGAATCTACCTTCATAACATCTCTCGCATCCATCCACTTCTCTCCACTCGTATGGCCATTACTCTAGTTCAGGTCCTCAAATTTATAAGAGTACAAGTCATTCCCCAATTGATAAATGGTCAAAGAATATGAACAGGCAGTTTTCAAATGAAGACAGTAAAGCTATCTATAGTCATATGAAAAAAATGCTCTAAATCATTATTGATTAGAGAAATGCAAATCAAAACAACTATCACATCTATCAGACTGGCTAACATGACAAAACAGGAAAATGATAAATGTTGGAGAAGATGTGGGACAATTGGAACATTAATGCATTGTTGGTGGAGTTGTGAACTGGTCCAGCCATTCTGGAGAGCAATTTAGAACTATGTCCAAAGGGCTATAAAAACGTGCATACCCTTTGACCCAGCAATAACACTTCTAGGGCTGTGTCCCAAAGAGATCATAAAAATGGGAAAAGGACCCACACATACAAAAATGTAGTAGCTCTTTCTGTGATGGCAAAGAATTGGAAATTGAGGGGATGCCCATTAATTGGGGAATGGCTGAATGAGTTGTGGTATATGAATGTAATGGAATACTATTGTGCTATAAGAAATGATGAGCAAGCAGACTTCAGAAGAACCTGGAAGACCTTGTATGGACTGATGCTGAGTGAAGTGAGCAGAACCAGGAGAATGTCATACACAGTAACAGCCACATTGTGCAATGACTAACTTTGATAGACTTAGCTCCTCTCAGCAATGCAAGGATCTAAGACATCTCCAAAAGTCTCATGATGGAAAATGCTATCCTCATCCAGAGGAAGAACTATGGAGTCTGAATGCAGATTGAAGCATACTATTTGCTCGTTTTTTTTTTCTTCTGTTTTGTTTTTTCTTTCTTGTTGTTCCTCCTATTGGTTCTAATTCTTCTTTACAACATGACTAATGTGAAAATATGTTTAATAGGAATGTATATGTAGAGCCTGTATCAGATTGCACACCATCGTAGGGAGGGAGGGGAAAAATTTAAAACTCAAAAGCTTATGGGAGTGATTGTTGAAAACTAAAAATAAATTAAAATTAAAAAAGATTAAAAAAATAGGAAAAAAAACTTAGGTCAAATACTGCATGAGGTCTTTTCTGATTTTGATCCCTTCACTCAAAAATATTGATCTGTATTTACCTTATATATATTGTGTATTTACATATGCCCACTTTTTTTTGCCAATAGTGTAAGCTTCTTGAAGGCAGGGACAGTTTTGTTTTGGTCTTTTGCATCTCAGCACCTAGCTCAGTGACTGACATAAAATAAGTATTTAATGGGTGTTTGTAGGGCTGAAAGAGAAAGAAGATCACCTGTCTTAGATGGGCTTCCCAAGTAAGAGAAGAATAAAAAAAGAGCAACTAAAGTTCACCACTACTGCAGCCGGATATGCCATGATCTTGTTGAAGATTTTTTTTCTAACATATACACCTCGAAGTAATTATACCCTCCTCTGTTGAGCTTCAGTTATTTTTAGCTTACTGAAAAAGATGGCTTTTCTGTAGTTCGAGTCAATAAGTGTTTATGAGAGAGTCCAGTTTTTCAAACCCTGTGTGCCCATGACAAATACAGTATTTTGAGGGGGCTTTATGTTAGTTATCTGACAACTGCTATTGTCACAATCAGTGAGAAATATCCTCTCAAAGATACTTTTTTTCTTGCAATATCTAATTATGCATAGAAAAGAAAATTTTCTGTGCCTTTATTGTAGTGAGCTAGTAATATAATAATAAAGTACTATTAATTTGCCTTTTGACCTCAGCTATTAGGTACTACTATGATTAATATTAGAGAGATTCATGATTTATTAATCTTTTGTCTGTTAATCTGCTTTTACTATGTGCTCTATATAATAGTAATAATAGTATTTCTTCTTTTCTGCTTTGTTTTTCCACCCCTTCTTCTAAAACAATAAGGTTCCCCATGTTCTGAGGAGGCTGGAGCCCTTAGGAGACTCAAAGTATACAAATATTGTATCCAGTTGGTGGAATCAGGAGATCTCCATAGAGAAATAGCATCTGAGATCACAGGACTTCTGATGCTTGAGGTAGGATGAAAGCTAAGGATTCTTTGGGGTGGCTCTTTTGGGTTTGTAAGTTGTAAAAAGGAGAGTTGGGTAAAGTCCAGTGCATTAAGCTCAATATAGTGCCATCTTTTATTATGAGCAGCAGTTTTTAAAATCTGGCTTTTAGACCATACAACATCTAATTAATTACATTGAGACTCTAGTGTCACATACTTTTGAAAACTTGACATGTTTGTGGTTCACAAAACAGGGTAATTAGCGGTAGACGATATACCCCTTTTTGTCCACTTCTAGTTTTTAGCACAAAGGCTAAAAAGTGATCTTTTCAGGTTATTGCCTATGCCTTTTGAGAGTTCATCTCTAGGTAATACTTCTGTTAATTCAACAAAAAGTACTATTCCTCGGAAAGACATATCAATCATCTTCTGATCCTTATTTCTTTGACCTTTGAACTTTTAGGCTCACAGTTTGCCTGGCTCCTCATTGGTTGAACTAGCCAATGGATTTGTTGATGTTGTCAGGGAAGGCAGCTTGGTGAATGGGAAGTCTTTGGAGTTATTACCCATCATCCTTACTGCCCTAGCTACCAAAAAGGAAAACTTGGCTTATGGAAAAGGTAATTTCTTTCCACTTTTCAGTAATTCAATTCAGCAAAGATATATTTATGAATGCCTGCTGTGTACAGAGCATTGTGTTAGGTACTAGGGGAAATAGGAAGTTTAGGTAAGCACTGAGGAAGCCTACAGTCTTGTCTGGGGATAAGATATAAATACAGACAACTTTAATACACAATATTGAAGGATTAATGCATAAGAGAAGTCCATAACAAAGTGGTCTGTGAAGTTCCAAGGGAAGTATGGAAATGTATAACACTAAGACCTTTTTTTGTTTTAGGAAATATTAAAAAATAATACATTAGTGTGGTGGTCTCACATTAATGAAAGGTCTGATTTGTCTTCCTTGAATAGAAGACAAACAATTCAGGAATGGATCTTGATTTCCTGTTTGAGACTTTGTATTGTTTGTGCTAACCAAACCAGGAGGGAAATGTCTTTGTTTAATCCAATTTAAGAACAGTCTTTGCTCAGATTGAAAGGAAAATAAACTCTTGGAGAGAATGGTGAAAGACATGTTAATTGGTTTAGGAATGATATTTTCTCTAGGGCACATTGATATCAGTGTTAATAAAGTTCTATTGGGTGAATCAAAAAGCCTTATTACAAATAGTTGAAGAGAGAGCTGGTACTGAGGAAGAGGTAACAGGCATAAATAATTTTCATAAAAGCTTGGTAGTGAGGGAGAAGAAAGAAATGGTTGCTGTATAGGACTAAGGGAAAGCTTTTTAGAATTGGGTAAAACCTGAATATGTTTTTAGGAAGATAGGAAGAAACCAGTGGGGAAAGAGAAGTTAAAGAAGCAGAGAGAGAAGGGGTGGCCCCTGGAGGAAACAAGAAGTTCTGGGATCAAATGTGTGGGTAGAAGTCCCGGCTATCGTAGTGAAGAGATGCAGACCAGAGGAAAGGAGAATAAAGTGGCTGATGACTGTTGGACACTTTGAGCAGTGGAGGTGGGGAGCTGAAGTTGCTCCTGTTGGATGTGCTCAGTCTTCCCAGTGAAGCGTTGGAGGCCAAGTTGTGCACTGTGAGTGTGAGGGTTGAGAGATTGAGGAGGGAGTTGTTTGGAACAACTCCTATGGAGAATGAGACAGGGTATCAATAAAGGAAAGTGGAACAGTGGTTGAGCAGTTTGTATTTTTCAGGTGAGCTGAATGGTGAAGAATATAAGAAGCAGCTGATTAACACTTTGTGTTCTAGCAGGTGAGTTCGTCAAACATCTTGCATTTTTTTTTTCAGAGCTATCCATGGCCACAGAGAGCAGGGACTTGTTTCTTTGAACAATAAGTTTCCACTTGCACTTTTGTCATATGTTGTACTATTATAGAATCATTTAATTTGTATTGAATTATTTTATTCCATAAGGAATGAAAGATTTTAAATCTCCATTCGTGTTCTCATCGAAGCATTTTCTAGTTTGAACATCTTCCTTTTAGGGTGGGGATTTTGCTCAACAGGTACCACTTCAGGAGCCTCTTCTTGGAGCTTAAGGTGTTTTCAACTTCTCAAGTTAATCGAGTTACCCCTCACTCCACTCTTTTTCTGATGATCAGTTTCTTAAGGAAAAAAAAAAGAGGCATACCCTTAGCCTCTTTGGATTTCATTATGACATAGTGACTATGGATGGGGAACCTGCAGCCTTGAGGCCACATGTGACCCTCTAGATCCTCAAGTCCTCAATCCTTTTATTAAGGGAATTTGTTCTGTGAAGTTTGGATTCAATCAAAGGGCTGCACTTTTGAGGACCTAGAAGACCACATGTGGCCTCGAGGCCGAAGGTTCCCCATCCCTGGATAGTCTATCCACTTTGTTCCTGTCTTTGTCTGTGGGCATGACTTAATAAGAAAGGAAAGAGATCTTAGCTCCTTGGGGCTTAGAGGTTGTGGTAGAAAAGTAAAGACAGTATTAATCTTGTGCACTTACACACTAAAGGATTACTGTAAGCTGTGGAGTCCAGATACTTGGGCTTCATTTCCTTTGTCCTAGCGTAATCTTGAGTTTTTTTTCTGTTGTGCTGTGAGAATTAAAAGTTGTTTCCAAGTCAAATTTCAACCCTTGGGAAAAGGAATGGAAAAATAGGTGTTTTAAGGGGTAAAATCTGATTACAACAAATATTTCACAATTAAAATATTGTTATGACAAAAAGATTTCAAGCATTAATTGGTAAATTGTTTTCTTAAGTAGTATTCTTATAATAAAATCCTAATACAGCAGAAGAATCTGTAAGGTTTATTTTAAAAGAATTTATCTGTATGATTATCTATCCTATAGGTTTTCTGCTATGAGCTGTAAAGGTGTTTTTATTGTATAATGGAAAGAACACTGAGGTTGGAGTTAGGAGGCCTAACCTAGGTTTGAGTCCCAACTCTGCCACTTATTAGTTGAATGACCTTGGGTCTCTCATATCCTAAAAGGAGAGTGTTGGGCCAGATGATTTTGAAGGCCCTTTCCACCTGTAACATTGTGTGCATCAATAGTCAGGTTGAAAAGGTGGCAAGTGATACTTTGTGGAGAGGAGAAAAAGGCAATTATTTCTTCTGTGCCTCATAGTCATAGTTTGTCAAGAAAAGAATTGAATTCCTGCTTCCTGACATAATTTTCAGACTCTGAGTCAAAGGTGAGAAATCTTTTGTAATTAAGAGGCTGAAAATTGCTCAGAGGAATCCCTATCAAGCTACAGATTGTCATGGACAGTGAAAGTTATATGAACCAATTTTTAAAAATTATTGTGCAGCAAATCTACCGAAGCAAGAACAATAAAAAACCATTGCTTCTTTATTCTCTTCTGGGTAGTCTTGGTCTCTTGTTTTTGCCTTTGTTCAAATCCTGGTTTTTATCGTTTTTGTTTTTAGTTGAATTCTGCACATTGTAATACACTGAACTCAAAAGCTGCTGAATAGATGATTTGAAGCTTATGAAAGTACCACCAGATGTTGCCTTGTTTTTTTAAATCTTGAGTCACTTACATTGCATGATACCCACTTTAAACAGTGGAGCAATTTTACTTCTTTGTATCTGCTATAATAAACACTGCTATGATAGTAAAGATGGAAATAAAAAGTTGTTAAATGAAATTCCCTAAAAACCAGAACCATTTTACTCAACTACAGAATTGTATCCTACTTGGTGTGTATATAGACAAATATGCAGAAAGGCGGAACCGAGTATTGCAAAAGCTTACCATTTCTTGTCTAGAATATGCTGCTTTCTAATAGAGTCAAACCAAGCTTGGACCAACTAAAATTGTTTTCTCTTGGCTAATTTTTGTAAATTAAAATAAGTGACTTTTCTTCTTTTGGCATTTTGTTTAATCAGATGGGACCAGCAGTTTGTAATCCAACTTACTTCTATGTTCAGGTAAAATTCTGGTCTTACCTCTTTCTTTTTCCGTCCTGTCCTTTTAGAAACTTGTTATGTGATACTCTCACAAAATGTCAATAGCTTATCTCTGAAACATCTGGGCTAGTAGCACATTACTGTCGTATTTCGTATTAAAAGCTCCTTTTCTCTTTGGCATCAAGCATACCTATTTAAATCAAAGTATAAGCCTGTAGGAGGAACATGGTATAGTGGGGGAAAAAAAAGCCAGAAGAATCGGAAGACCTGGAGTCAAACTTGTATATAACTTTGGACAAGTCACTTAATATCTGTAGGCTTTACTTCCATCAGCTGTTAAATGAGTGGTTTGAACCAGATTGTAGGGTCCTTTCCATCTCTATGTCTTATGATCTTACGGTTTTTTTCATGGTCTATGGTCTTTGCTTGGGTGAGTTTATTGATTCTTCTAAAGGGCTGTAGTCAGAAATCAAAAGGTAGACTAGTCCAGTAATCCCCTGGGATTTTGTTTCTCAGAATTGTAAATGCTGTGAAGCATTAAGGTGGAAGTAAATATAGCATTTGGGCATTCAGAGTATATCCACAGGATGTAAAAATGTCTGATCCACAGGGATGTCCCTCTGAGCATAGAGGAGTTGGAGTTTGTGGTAGAAAAGGTCCTGAGACTGCTCTCCAGGTTGGACCTCCAAGAGATACCTCCTTTGGTCTACCAGCTTCTGTTGCTTTCCTCTAAGGTAGGAACAAAAAAGATTTTTGCTTTTAAATTCCAAAATTGAACTACCCAAATTGAAATGAGCTGTTTAGAGTGATTCAACCTATTATTCTCTCAGGTTGGAGTTTAGAGGTAACTCCAAAAATATTCTAGGGCATAGAGTATGCATTTCAGCTGTATTGAGTACATTTGACTGCATCTCACACTTTCATACTGAGAAAAACATTCATGGAGGGGCAGGCCACATTTTGTATGCAGCAGCAAAATTAGTGGCTGTGGCACGTAGGTCACAATGTAGTGTTTTCCATTGTCAGGTTTCTCAGAGCCACTCCAGATCCACATGAAAGTATTCTGTGTCCAATATGTGATCCTAGGATATAGTTTGGGTCCATTTAGCTTTATGCTATAAGAATCCTTTGGATATAAAGGCACTGTTAAATTTAGATGATGTAGCTCATCTTTTTGATTTTGTTTTTGTTTTGATTTTCATAACTTCCAGGGAAGTAGGACGAAAGTTCTGGAAGGAATTATAGCCTTCTTCAGTCAGCTGGATAAATCACACAGCGAGGAGCAGAGTGGTGATGAGTGAGTAATATACAGTAGGGATTGAAGTAGTTGTTTTTAAAAAATTCATTCTCCTGTAAAACAAAAGTTTTTAGTTGTACATAATAATTTTTCTTCTGTCTACTCTATTGACTTCTCCTACCCAGAACCTGTCTAGTCTGTCTTTATTTACTCTGCAGTGAAGCTGGAGAGTTTGAGAACACTCACCTTCTCACTTTTCTATCATTCTCCTGTAATCTATGTGGTTAGCTACAGAGTCTGGGTAGTTTATATAAAAATACTAGTGGTTATTTATTCTTGTTCTAATGTGCACTAAATAACTGAGGACTGAGCTATTTCCTGGGTTCTTGTACTGAAAGTACATTTCCTAGTTTCAAGTACAGACAGTTCTTATAGTGTGTGGGCTCTTCCACAGACCTCTACCTCCCCTAGCCAAAGCTGAGGATCCTTAGCATGGAGCTGCACCAGCAGGAGCCAAAGCAATCCGCAGAGTACAAATTTATCTCAAGTAAGAATGTCTCTAGTAAAAGGCACTGCAAAGGATTGTGCTCCTGCCCAGCTATAGATTGTCCAGGCAACAAGGCCTAATTTGTAGTCAGCAGTAGTGACTGAAAGACCTTCAGTTTCTTTTTTTTATTATTACTTTGAATTTGACAACCATCCTCCCAATAAACAATTCTATGTACAAATTTAAACAACAAAAAAAGGATTATATGTGAAACCATAAAACCTCTCAGGTACAGATTACTTTTTAAAAAAGTATAATAAATTCCACATATTACTTTTAAAGTTATCCTACTTATGTGTGTCCTTCTGAACTTCCTTTTGTTCTTTATAGTTTTTAAAATGCTTTGGTGACTTTTTTTAATCTTCTTTTTTTGGTCAACCCTGTCTGTCTTCTCTCCCTTTCCATAACGCTCCCCTCAACTGAAAATAAGAAAACGCGATCTTTGTAACAAATAGGTTTAGTCAAGCCAAATAGATCCATGTATTTACCACATACGAAAATGTATGTCTTACTTGGCACCTTGAGTCTATACCCCTCTATCAGGATGTAGACAGCATTCTCCCTCGTAGATTTTCTGCAGTCGTGGTTAATAATTTCTTTTTTTTTTTTTAACTAAGTGACAAGTTTGAATATCTCTTTGACAACATTTTTGAGATCCACAGTGACATAGAGGTATTGAAACGAATGGGAATGTCTTTTGGCCTGGAAACAGGCAAATGTTCACTTGAAGACCTGTGAATTGCTATATCATTGATGCCAAAGGCTTTAGAAGGTTATATCACCAGTATGTCTACAAGACCTTCATAGCTGAATCTGGGGCTACTTCTGAATTCAATCCCATCAGTTCCAAATTTTTTTTTAAAAAAAAAAATTATTTTTAGTTGTCAACATTCACTTCCTTAAGATTTTGAGTTTTAAATTTTCTTTCTCCCCTCCCCAAGACGACGTGCAATTTGATATAGGCTCTACTTATGCATCATATGAAGCATATTTTCCCATTAATGATGATGTGGTTAATAATTTCACTGATCAGAGTTCTTAAGTCTTTCAAAGTAGTTCTTTTTAAAAATGCTGATATTATTATTATATAAATTGCTCTCCTGGTTCTGCTCATGTCACATTGTAGTAGTTCATACAAGAGACCTTGAACTTCTGTTCTTGATAAAACATATTTGTTCTTTCTTTTTTAAAACAATTTTTGTCTTTTGTTTTATATCATCTTAGTTTCCAAATATATATCTCCTTTCTCAAACACCCAGTGAACCATCCCTTGTTACAAAAAAGTGAAAAAAGAGGAAAAGAGATGTTTAGCAAACTAACCATCTCATCAATGTTGACTACATATGCAATATTCACACCTATAGTCTTTCATCTTTCCAAAAAAAGAAAGGAAGTGTAACTCCTCCTCTTTCTTTAGCAGCAAGCTTGGTTGTTATTAGTATTATTATTGTTATAAAACATCCAGCTTTATTCTTTAGTGGCTATTCTTTCTATTTCCATTGTCGTGGTCGTTGTGTATATGACTTTCCAGGTTCCGTGTACTTTATTAGTTCCTGTAAGTGTTCCTATACTTCTTTGCATTCTTCATGTTCGTTGTTTCTTATGCACAGTAATGTTTCATTAAAATTGTGCACCACGATCCTCAATAGTCAGGCCCCTCATTTGGTTCCAGCTCTGTGCTATTACAAATGCTGCTGTAAATATGTAAGTATAGACTCCTCCTTATTTCTTTCTTTTTATCTTTTTTTTTTTTTTTTTGCTTTTTGGTGAGGCAGTTGGGGTTAAGTGACTTGCCCAAGGTCACACAGCTAGTAAGTGTCAAGTGTCTGAGGCCAGATTCTGTCTCCAAGGCTAGAGCTCTGTCCACTGTGCCACCTAACTGCCCCACTTCTCCTTATTTCTTTAGCTTTTTGCGCAGATGTCACCTTTGCTTATGCCATTTCTTCTACCAGCAATGCCCTCTCCATTTCCAATCTTACCCATTTTTCAAGGCCAAGCTTAAGGGCCATGTCCTAACGAAGCGTTCCATGGCCACCGATTTCTCCTTCCTTGGAATTCTTTGAATACTTAGTGTCTACTTTATACTTTGGCTGAGTAAATCTTTTACTTCCTCTGCTTGATTTTAAGTTCCTGGAAAACAAGGACAACTCTGTATCCTATAGTTCCTTGCACATTGTAGACACGCAACAATATTTATTGAATGAATCAATTTCTATTTTATTTGAGTCCAGTATGATTAGGTTCAGTGGCACAGCTCAGTGCCTCAACCTATTGCTTAGGCTCAGTGACTTGTAGTCCAGGCCCTTCTTTCTGTTCCTTTAGTCTGTTGGACCTTGTCACAGTGCCATCTGGTGAACTACGTCATGTGGAAGGCACCATTATCCTGCACATTGTGTTTGCCATCAAGTTGGACCGGGACCTAGGCAGAGAACTCATGAAACACTTAAAGGTAGAGCACAACCTGAATGTGGTTCAGTGTCTCCTGGTGAAATGGTGAGAGATTTAAACTAGAAATCAGTTTATGTTGGTCAATGATATCAGGAATCAAGTGAGAATATTATATATAGCATGAAATGACCTAAAAAGTAGGTCATCCTTCTACACTTGGAAAAGCAAGACCAATTGATCTTCAACATATCATTAAACAAGTCAACAAGTTCCATTTAAAGCTGTACTATAATATGTTTTAATGAAAAAAGCCTTGATATGTTTGTCAGCAAATAGTGCCTTCTCAGTTGTTATCTTATATGACCTTAAACCTTGGCTTCAGTTTTCCACTCTAAGAAATGATAATATTATCTTGTTGATCAGTGTAATGAGTTTAGAACCTCTGAATATTAAAATATTTAGATTTTTCATAATTAATAGTTGATAACAGATTATTCAAGTTTCCATCTCTCTTCAGTGCTCTGTGATGGGCGACCTCATATAGTGGATAGAGGGCTGGCCACACAGTCAGAGAGACCTCACTCCAACATCTGTCCTTACTAGCATTGTTTGACAGGCATTGTGTTAGCTTCAGCGCCCTCCCCTAGGAAAGGCTTATCCCTATAGTGGGGAATCAAATGAGATAAGGCATGTAAAGTACTTTATAAGCTTTAAAGCTCTGTACAGATGCTGCTATCAGCAAGCCAAGTGCTTTTTAAACTCAGTTACTGGCCATTCTACCTTGTTTTGAGGGAGAAGGAATACTTAACAGGAAAAGGATTAGGTCTCCTAACAAGGCAGATACTGGGTCAAATAAATGTCACTAATCTAGCTATTTTGGAAAAAGAGCAAACCACCGGCTTCATAGGATTGCTATGAAGGTGAATCATCAATTAATGCCTGTTTTTGAACCCCTACAGAGAAAAGAACCATAAAAATTCAAAGATCTATGTTATTGTATTATTTGCTATGCTGTGCTTTTAAGTTATAAGTAATAACTTTTTTTTCTGATATGTTTATCCTAGGCAGGGCAGCAAGGAGATGACAACAAGACTATATGTCCCTTCAGCATAGCACTCCTACTCTCAGTAGCAAGAATACAAAGATTTGAGGAGCAGGTATTTATGTGGAAGGGTGGGATTCCTCAGTACCTAGCATGTAGTTAGTGAGCATTTCCCCCATTTCCTTGGGGGAACAATTCTTGGAGGCACTAGTCTCTGCCAGCGGTTATGTGGTTTATAGCCATTCTGTGGGGGTCAGGGTGACTTTTGTATGTTGCCTTCTCATGTCTTTGTTTTTTTGTAGAAGAATTAGGGAATGGAGGGAAAAGTAAGAATAGAAATAAGAAAGAGAACCCCCAAAAAACAAGGATAAAAACTTTGAATATTTTTATTATTCATTGATTTTTAAGAACTGCTTCTAGTTGAATAAAAATTAGTTCAGGAGGATAGATTGATCAGAAGGATATAGGAGCAGCCTAGTGTCCTTTCTCTTCGGAATTCTTGTCTCCTGAAGACTACAGAATTAGAATTAATGATTTGTAATCTATTCTCTCAAGGGGAAGGTTTTAGGTCAGGGGTTCCCATTCTGGGGAATATGATGCTTGTCAAAAGAATACAGAGAAGGTTTGGTAAATAACTACATTAGTCTATTAAAATATTCAAAAAGTAGTAATGTTAGTGAAAACATAGAAGAGAGGATATTCAAGAAGGAGGGTCAGATGAGAAAGGGAGGGAGTCTTATAATGCGTCCAAAAAATTTGATTCCTGCTAACCACAAAACCGAATGAATGAAGTTTGGACTTGAAACAAGTTTCATATTGACCTAAAAAGATAATATTAGTTACAGTGACCCAGTAAAAGATTAGCTACTTGATCTCCACAATAACCAAAAACTCTGAATTCATTTCCAGTCATTTAAGTTATAAAATTTTTGATGTGCCCTTAGAGAAGCATATCCCATTCTTACTAAACATACTCATAGGCTTTAATTCTGTTTATAACAACTCATCTCTGTGAATCAGAATTCTTAGTCCTATTCTCAGTCAAATCTAAAGCAAGAGAACAATTTGGAGGCTGAACATGATATACAAGTATCTTTTTCAAAACTTATATCAAGAATAAAACTGTTGGTTAACAAAGAGCAGAATCAAGAGTTTCCCTAATTTCATTTGACTGTGTTTCTTTCTTTCTTTTTTTTTTTGTGGTGAAGCAATTGGGGTTAAGTGACTTGCCCAGGGTCACACAGCTAGTAAGTGTTACGTGTCTGAGGTCATATTTGAACTCAGGCCCTCCTGACTCCAGGGCCAGTGCTCTATCCACTGCACCACCTGGCTGCCCCTACTTCACTGTGTTCTGATAAGCATTTAACAATGTTGACATAAGAAGATGATAGTGAGAGCTGCTATATTTTTTTGTTTGATTTCTTTTCCCTTTAATTGTATTAGATATTTGACCTTCTGAAAACGTCAATTCTCAAAAGCTTCCGAGACCTTCAACTTCTCCACAGCTCAAGGTTTCTGCAGAACCTTGTCCCTCAAAAATCTTGTGTCTCCACCATGATCCTAGAAGTGGTTAAGAATAGGTGAGTTAGAGAACAATGCTTCCCATTTGCCTTTATTGCTTTGGAAAATATGATTTTAGGCCACATGTATGTGCCTGCTAGTATCTAGGGAAATGTGTCCATAAACAAGCTCATTTTTAAAGTTGAACTTTGCTCCTGGGGTATGGGAACACTGTCTCAAACTCCTTGCACTGGGTACCAGGGGTCTGGTCACTGGCGTTCTGCACCAGGGCTTCTGGGGCTGGCAGCTTGCCCACTGTGCTAGAGCAGCCTGCCCTACTTGCCTGGGTTCTGGGGCTGACAGTTTGCCTGCTGCTCTGGGGCTGGAGGCCTCACAGCTGGCCTGCTGTGCTGCTGGCCTGTTGAGCTGGACCATGGCGCCTTGGTTGCTGATGTAGCTAAGAGACTCCTGCTAGCATGCCCAGACACTGCCTGCACTGGGCTCTGCTTCCCTTTTACCAAGTGAGGCAGGTATTTCCTAAAGTCCTTCTAACTCATCTTGGGCTGGAAAATTGTTCCACCTTTTGTGTATTCTGTCGCTCCAGAATTCTTTTAGAGGCTTGAACCTGGGGAGAGCTCAGGCTACTCCTGACTTCTCTCCACCATCTTGGCTCCTTCCCTGGCCTTTTTTCTTTTTTGTCTTTTTTCTTTTTTTGCTTCTTGGTGAGGCAATCAGGTTTAAGTGACTTGCCCAGGGTCACACAGCTAGTAAGTGTCCAGTGTCTGATCTGAGACCGGATTTGAACTCAGGTCCTCCTGACTCCAATGCCAGAGCTCTATCTACTGCACCCCTAGCTGCCCACCTGGCCTTTTCTCTTAAAACTGCTTGTGAGTATTTCTGTCTCAACCTTAAGAACTTATTTAAAACTTTATAGTTTTAAAAGCTAACTTTTTATAGTTTTAAAAGCTAACTTTTTATAACTAATTTTCCCCTGTTCACCAATCCACACTATCTACTTAACTTTGTTTCACTTACCTTTTCTTACTTTGTCTGATCTGAGCTTTGTAATTACCTTCTTCTTAGCCATCTTGAGTCTCTCCAGGTTCCCTCCCTAATTTTCCATTATCCTCTTTAATCCTTTTATAGCTTTCTTAATTGTCCTTGATCCTGCTTGTCTTACAACTTGGTAGAATCTGGATTTGGGACTGAAAATAGTTCTTCTTCAAATTTTCTTCAATTTCTACACAGTTTTGCCAGATTTTTCCTCACCAAATTCACTCTTTCTTCATTTGTCTAAATCCTTCCAAGTCACTTACATGATTTCCTTTTTCTAATTCAGCTCAAAGCCTTCTGTCTTTTCCCAATCTTCTTACAATGTTCTCCCACAGAATTTGAGATTTTTTCTTAGATCTCTATAAGGTATATGCCTACTAGTGGTATTGCTGCATCAAAGAGTATGCAATTTAGTGACTTTTAGTGACTTTTGTTTCATGACTTTTTGGGTATAATTCCAGATTTTTTTCCAAAATGGTCAGAACAATTCATAGCTTGACCAATAAATAGGGTGTAAGTATGCCTATACCCCTATAGCTCCTCCAACAATTTCATTTTCCTCTCCTACCATCTTTGCCAATTTGATGAGTATGAAGTATAACCTCAGAGTTATTTTAATTTGCATTTCCCTAATGATTTGGAGAATTTTTTCATGTGGTTTTTGATAGTTTACAATTCTTTTGAAAACTGCCTGTTCATATCTTTTCACCATTTATCTATTAGAAAATGATTCTTGTTTTATATTTTATCAATTCCTTATATGTTTCAGCTATCAGACCATTATCAAAGAAGTTTGCTGTAGTTTTTTCTCAGTTAATTGTTTTTCTTCTCATTCTAACTGCATTGATTTTGCTTGTGCAAAAAGTTTTTCAATTTTATATAGTCAAAGATTGCTTTGCTTAGCATTCTATCTCATACTATTCTAGACATGGTGCTTCAGTAAAACTGGACCACTCTGATCAGTGACCATACACCTTCATGAGTCTGGTGTTACTATTTTTCATGCATAGAGTCTTCTTTGCTCTTTCAATTCCTATCCACCCTTTAAAGCTCAACTCTAGTGCCATCTCTTCTTTGCTAATTCCTGGGTAGCATTAACCTTCCCCTTGGACTTTGTGTAGCATTTTTATCTATAGTTCATTTAACAAGTATTATTTACTGTAGTTATATGTATGGCTTATCCTTTTGCTAGACTGCACGCTTCCAGGGGGGCAGGGAGCATTTCGTCAACTTTTTTTTTAAAGTTGACAAAATTTCTGTCTCAATGTTATATCTCTCCGCTGCCTAGCATAATGTTCTGTACACAGTGGATGTATAATACATATTTGTTGAATTAATAATACTGTCCTTTTAAACTAAGATTTGTTCCATTAGTGTTCACAGCTGGGATCATGTCACTCAAGGCCTGGTAGAACTTGGTTTCATTCTGATGGACTCATATGGACCAAAGAAGATCCTTGGAGGAAAAACTACTGAAACCAGCTTAGTTCCTTCCAAAACGCCATCTCAGCAAGCATGCAAACTGGGAGCTAATATTCTATTGGAAACTTTTAAGGTGAGATTACAGATTAGCCTCTGTTTCAGAGTGGAAAATATTGTTAATCTCATTTTGACATATTTCTTAGTAATAATAAAATGAAATGTTCTGAATAAGGAATATCTGTGCTCTGGAGGTTGAGGTAAAAAATATATAAAGATGTAGTTTCAGCCTGGGTAGGACAGGAAATGGGATTATTTTAGAATATCAATTTTTCAGTAACAACCTGATGGATCCTTAGTATCTAGAAATCCAATTTAATGGGTTTTTCCTCAAAAACAACAACAAACTTTGATTTACCATGTCTTTAGCTTATTCCTCTAATTTCCACTATTTCTAGCCTTTCCTCAGAAGTTTGAACTTAAAATCTTTCATACTACTTTTGTACTCTTCCCTTAAATGGTCATCCATTTTTGGACTTTTTTATACTATTCCTTTTGCATAAAGATGTTATTTTAGGTTAGCAGAAACATGTTAATTCTGGGAATTATGGTTAATTGCTTTTTTGAAGGCCCAAAGTATACAGTTTGAACTTTTAAACATCACAAACAACTGATAAACAACAATTGAATCTTTTAAAAGACCATGTAAGATTTAAAACATAAAAGCTTATTTTCTTTAAAATTTGAAACAATAAATTAAGGTATATCATGTTTGAAGCCCAAGTTATTTTATCTTGCTAGTGATCCCACTGATTCATTTTTACACAGATGTTAGCTTAGCGCAATTTGCTGCGAGCTTATTCATATAAATTAGCCACATTTTCACCAGTTTAAGGACTGAGATAAATTAGGCATATCACAAAGGATTAGGATACAAATAAGAATTTTTTTACCAAAATGAAGCTGGTCTTTCTAGGAACTATGGCAATAGGCCACTGCCTTCTAGATGTGACATTGCTACCTCCTAGGAATTGGAGAAAGCTAATAATTTTCATGGTTGATAAAATTGTCATAGGCTTATATAATATCTGTGTGTGTGTATGTGTTTAATAGAATCTGAAATAAGTACAGGAGTCAATATTGCGTATCAGTAGCTAAGTACTATTAAGAATTACTGATTTCTGGTTTAGGACTTTTCACGTGGCATTATTCTCTTTATTATTTTTATACTTAGGTTAACAAAATTGTGCCTCTCTTTCTCTAGTTAGTCTCTCACCTGCTTATAGTGGGCAGAGTTGAGTAGTTTTGTGTTTTAGGATGATCCAGACTTTATCCTGATTTATTTTTCATGTCAGTGGTTATTCTACCCACATAATAAATAACAAAATATATTTGCATAGCATTTTATAGTCTTGAAAAATACTTTATTTGAGTCTCAAAGCAACCCTATGAGGTGTGGATAGCACAACTGTTACTTTGCTTCTTTTACAGATAAAGATCAGGATTAGGTGAAGTGGCTTGCCCCAATGCACACAGCCAGTGAGTGACAGAGCTAGAATTTATGTTCAGGTCTTCAGATTGCAAATCTAATGCTTTTTACAATCTATCATGCTGCTGCTTCTACACCTTGAACTGCTTTAGTCTTTCAATCATTCTGATGCAGTGATGGTATATACGTGGACCAGAAATATTCTGTTAGCCCTTTGGTGAAAAATGGTAAAGTGTCTGTGCTATAAAAATGTGAGTTATTGTCACCTTGAAGAGGTTTCAATACCTGGGGAAAATCTCCATTTAGTTCTTCTCTTCTTTCCAGATCCATGAGATGATCAGAAAAGAGATTGTCGAGCAGGTTCTCAACAGGGTTGTTTCCAAGACATCCTCTCCTATCAGTCATTTCTTAGGTAATGGGTCCGAAAACATTGGGATAACTTTCTGGAAATTTCCTGAAATGTTTTCACTGATCTGTCTACAAGAAAACTTGGGCAGCCTGTAAAATGGAACTCTTGCCTGAAGTATTAGATCGGTAAAGTTCAAAAGAAACAAGAGTACAGTTCTGTTTTTGTGTATTATGCTACTTTGACTATGTTGGTGAAAGTTTTACCAAGAGCTAAAGTGACACACATTTGATGCATGTTCCTCTCTTTGTTTGAAAACTTGTCCTATTTTTCTCTTTCCTTTCACTATCAAATTTATCACCAGGTCAAATTCATCAGTCTTCTGGAAGCCAGTTTATGCATTACAAATAATCTGAATTCTTATGGCTTTTAGTGTTGTTTTAATTTTCATTGGGAGTAGGTAGGTGGCACAGTGGATAGAGCCCCAACCTGGAATCAGAAGGACCTGAGTTCAAATCCAGCCTCAGACATTTACTAGTTGTGTGATCCTGGGCAAGTCACTTAACCCTGTTTGCCTCAGTTTCCTCATCTGTAAAATGAGCTAGAGAAGGAAATGGCAAACCACTCCAATACCTTTGCCAAGAAGATGCCAAGTGGGTTAATGAAGAGTCAGACATAACTGAAATGTCTGAACGATAGCAACAAATGAATCTCCCTGCCTTCAGTCTCTTGTCTACTGCAGTTCATTTTACACACTAACATTAGACTAATTTTGTAAAGCTTCATTTTCAGTATGTTTTTTCCCTTTTTAAAAACCTTCAGTGGTCTCCTGAGTTGCCTACAAAATAAAACTCAAACTTTTTAGCCTGGACTTAAAAGCCTTCCCCGGTTCTTTCAGTTAATCTTCAGATGTCATGAATGTGAGACTCTTCAACATCTAGTTGTCCCTTCTCTGTATATTTTCCAGTTTATCACTGTTTTTCCTAAGAGGTAGCTCCCTAAAGTGAACACAATACTGCAGAGGGCTCTGAGCAGGACAAAGTACGAGACTTGCCTCTTCCTGGTCCTGGACATGAGACCTTCTTAGGGTAGCCTTAAATTACATTTAGCTTTCTTATCTGCCATGTCACCATTGATTCAGATAGTGCTATGTGTTTTCAGAAAAACCAACTAATCTACTTTTCAAGGTTTACTTAATTCACTTTCTTAAACTCTCAAGCTCTTCCATTTACTATCCCCTTAACCAGTTTATATATCCATGATTTTAGTCATGCTATAGCTAGGTGGTTTGGTGGATAAAGCACTGAGCCTGAAGTCAGGAAGGCTCATCTTCCTGAGCTCAAATCTGGTATCAGACACTTATTAGCTATGTGACCCTGGGCAAGTCACTTGACCCTGTTGACCTCAGTTTCTCATTTGTAAACTAAGCTGGAGAAGGAGAGGTAAACCACTCCAGTATCTTTGCCAGGAAAATCCAAAATGGGTTCATGAAGAATCAGGCATGACTGAAATGACTGAACAACATAGTACCTGCAAGGAATACCCTTCTCTAATGCTTACTCATTTTTTAAGACCCTCTCTGAAACCTTTCCAAATCACCTCATTCCTCAATGATCTTTCCCAATTTAATGTGGCTGTCACTTTTATTTGACAACAATAATAATAATTTTGAAATCATTTGGTTTGTAAAAGCACTTTGCGTCTATTATCTTATTTGAACCCCAGCAACACTGTGAGATAAGTAAGTAGGTATTATCCCCACTTTACAGAGGAGGTGAGTTACCTATGACTTCGCCATGGTCATATAGCAAGCAATTATTGACAACAGAATTTAAACTTGAGTCTTCTTTATTCCAGGTCCAGTTCTGCATCCATTACTGTCTTTAGTCCAGCACCCCATCCACTATTATCTTGTGACATTTCCTGTATTGAATTAACTTTTCAGGTTTTTGTCTTGACTTCCCAGTTTAATTCTGTAAGCTCCTTGAAGACAATAACCAAGCTTTATTTGTCCTTATCCTCTATGTTACCTAGGGGATACAAAAATGAATACGTAGTACCATGTATGTAATAAGCAGTTGACAAATATTTGTTGGTTGATTGAAAGTTTGAAATAGAATATGTACATTTTGTTAAGGTGTCTAAGTGGAGTTCCTTTCAACTTGGACAATTTGCATCTTGTGTTCAGCCTTTGTTCCATAGTTGAGAATCTTACTCATATTCACTCTTAGGTGAACTTAAAGGGCTTGTGGCTTCACTGATGTGGGTGCTTCCTCCTTTGATACAAATCATACCCCTCTGTAGCTTAGTAAACTACACTTTTGAGTTGCTATTGCTGAAACAATTGATCATCCAATAACTAACCCTCTGGTGATGGCCTTTACAGAACCTTTGAAAGCAGACGGTCCTTGGCTGGCCTGGTACTTAAAGTCTTTTCAGTTTGGGAGGAACCACCTTTACTATCCTTTATTATTCTTTTATATTATTATTATTCTTTATTTAGGTCATAGATGTAGAACTAGGAGGAGCTTTAAAAGGCATCTATGTAGTCCCTCATTTTACAGAAAAGAAACTGAAGTTCCTAAAGGTGAAATGTTTTGCCCGCAGTTACGCACATAAAGGGTGGCAGATGAGAGATCTAAATGCAGTTTTAAAAATTCCAAATCCAGTGTCTCATTTCGGCATCATTTGTTTACTTTATTCATGCAATCTACTGGCATGGCCTTCTAGAGCCCATGATGACCACCATATGCTGCATGAAGGCATTAGAATGGGCCTTCAGTGGAGATGTATGCTCTGGGTAACCTGGCAACTGCATCTGCAGGCGCTGTAGCCCTGCCTCCTCCACATCCACTAGCTACTGAAGGCCGGGAAAAGAGTCTTTAGCACTGTCAAATGGTTCAGTGTCAGAAAGACATATAGTTGTATCAATGGAAATGGCACCAAAGATAATACATTACTATCTGCTTACTCCTGCCCAAATGGGCTTTTCCATCTACTATACAGCTGAACCCTCCTATACATACTGTTTTTCTTTCTGAATTGGAGCTCTTTGAGAACAAGAGCAGTCTTACTTTTCTGTGTTGATTACCAGCATTTTGCACAGTGCTTGGTACATGGTAAGTGCTTATAAACAAATTTTCTTTCTTTCATTTATTCATTCGTCCATCAAAGTAAGCTCCTTCCCAAATACTGATGACAGTGAAGGAAAAGGCAAAATAAACTTTTCTCTGTATTCATTTTCCTTTTAGTTCCAGTCACATTGTGGTCTTCAGTTATCTCAGGTGACTGATAAAAGATTCTTTTTTCCAGATCTGCTATCGAATATCATCATATATGCACCTTTGGTTCTTCAGAGTTGTTCTTCAAAAGTCACTGAAGCCTTTGACTATTTGTCCTTTCTGCCCCTGCACACTGTGCAAGGCCTGCTCAAGGCAGTGCAGGTGAGGCCCCCTCAATCCAGGGGGAACTTGGCTTAGCTTATCTATTTAGTCATAAATATGTATATGGGAGAAAATCTATTCTAAAAACCTAAAATTTTGAATTAGGAGGAACTACAGTCTATATCTCTATCCACTTCACGAAACTTATACTTCATCTCCTTCAGCATGTTTTAAAATCAATGATATAATATCTATAAAACATTTTGAGCATCACGGAAGATTTTTGACTATAGGCCATATATTCACTGGGCTTCAAAGCTAGTTTTTGTACAACATTTCAAAGGCTCCTATTTCCTTATTGTCACACCTGATATGACTTTTTTTTTTAGTCTAATAGTGAAAGATGACATGGATCATGTAATAATATAAGCATAACCTAAATGTAGGGACTGAAACTCTATACTGGTAACTATATCCAGCAAAAATCAAGCTAAGCTTAACATATACTCAATAACTTTGCTCTGTTTTCATCCACTGATTCTTTCTTCCCTTTTTAGCCCCTTTTAAAAGTCAGCATGTCGATGAGAGATTCCCTAATACTTGTTCTCCGAAAAGCCATGTTTGCCAAGTGAGTAACCTTTGGGATTCAAGGGAGAAAGATTTTCCATTATTAGAATAAGCCTGAAATTTATCTCTTACCATTTTCCACTTCAGCCTACGTGCAGGACTCTTTGAAAGATTTATAATCCAAAAGATAAGTTCTACCCACCTATCTATACACCTTTATACATATATATGTACAAATATATTCCTTACAGATACTCCAGTTATTTCATTGTATGATCCTGGAACAATCTTGTTCTTTTACCTTGTATCATTTTGTCAGAAAAAATAGAAGGAAGTATAGATGTTGTCATGAGTTTAAATAGCCAATTTTAAAAATCAGCTGTATTTGGAACTGTTAATTATTTGGGGCAATTTTAGATATCTAAATTCAATTTATATTCTATGCTTCCTTGCTCATATAGATTCCTTCTTTGTACAGGATAGATTCAGATTTTTCTCAGAAACCTATTTGCAATAAAATTGGTGCCATTTGTTGATTTTCTTTTTTTTTTAATTCCTTGAGCCAGTCAGCTTGATGCCCGAAAATCTGCTGTTGCTGGGTTTTTGCTCTTATTGAAGAATTTTAAGGTTCTGGGCAGCTTGTCTTCATCTCAGTGCAGTCAGAGTATTGGTGCCACTCAGGTAAGGATGACTCACAGTAAATGGCAGAAAGGATATTTTAACAGCTTTCTTTCCTTTTTAATCCAGATCTTGAAGCCTTGATGGCCTAATGGACTAGCTCCAAAATAGGCCCTCTGAGTTCTGAATTCTGAAAATTACTCTCTAAAGATGAGCCAAGGACTTTACTGCTTTGAGCTCATCCATTTGGTAGATTTAGCCCCCACCCCCAATCCATGTTGAACACCCAGGGATTTGAAGGTGAATTAAATGTCTACAAATGTTAAAGGATGATACCTCCCTTCTTTCCCCCTCCAGATTATAAGTTTTTTGAGGGCTTTTTGTTTTTTCTTTATATTCCCTGTGCGTACGTAGCACAGAACCTTACACTTAGTAGATGCTTAATAAATACTTGTTGAATTGAATTGAATTTCTACTCTATGCAAAGCCCTTTATTAGATACTAGGATAGGTCAGTGGTTAAGTACAATGAGGTCTCTCACCTCATATAGTTATTTAATAGGGGCTTGTGGCATATATGCAAATAACCATAATACAATATGACACATTTCACATATATTGAAAGAGGTGCAGTCTTTTTTTTTTAATTGTTGTCCTTTTTTATGTCTTTTTTTAAATAGAATTTTTCCCCCAATTACATGTCAAGACAATTTTAACATTCATTTTTACAAGATTTTAAGTTGTAGATTTTTCTCTTTCCCCTCCCCTCTTCCTAAAATGGTAGGCAATTTGATATAGGTTTTACATGTGCTATCATGTAAAACATATTTTCATATTAGTCACAGCTGTGAAAGAAGAAACAGATTAAAAGAAAAAAAAACACGAACAAGAATAAAATAAGTGAAAAAAGTATGCTTCAGTCAGCATTCAGAGTCCATCAGTTCTTTATCTGGATGTGGATAGCATTTTCCTTCATGAGTCCTGTGTACGTGTCTTGGATCATTGTGTTACTGAGAAGAGCTGAATCATTCATAGTTGGTCATCACACAATGTTGCTGATACTATGTATAATGTTTTCCTGGTTCTGTTCATTTCACTTTGCATCAGTTCATACAAATCTTTCTAGGTTTTTCTGAAATATGCCTGTTAATCATTTCTTATTGTACAATAGTATTCCATCACATTTATATTACTACAGTTTGTTTAGCCATTTCCCAATGGATGAGCATGGGTTTCCAATATTTTGCCATCATGAAAAGGGCTGCTATATTTTTGCACATGTAGGTTTTTTCCCCTTTTGAATGATTTCTTTGGGATACAGACCTAGTAGTGGTATTGCTGGATCAAAGTGTATGCATAGTTTTATAGCCCTTTGGGCATGGTTCCAAATTACTTTCCAGAATGGTTGAATCAATTCACAGCTCCACCAGCAATGCATTAGTGACCCAATTTTCCCACATCCTTTCCAACATTTATCATTTTCCTTTTCTGTCATATTAGCCAATCTGATAAATGTGAGGTGATACCTCAGAGTTGTTTTAATATACATTTTTTCTAATCAAAAGTGAATTGGAGCACTTCTTCATATGCCTATAGATAGCTTGCTTTCTTCATCTGAAAACTGCCTGTTCATATCCTGACCATTTGTCAGTTGAGGAATGGCTTGTATTCTTATAAATTTGACTCAGTCCTCTATATATTTGAGAAATGAGCCCTTTTTCAGAAACACTTGCTCTGTAAAGATTGTTTCCTGGCTTTCTCCTTTCCTTCTAATCTTGGTTGTGTTGGTTTTGTTTGTGCAAAGGTTTTTTAATATAATCAAAATTATCTATTTTACATTTCATAATGCTTTCTATCTCTTGTTTAATCATGGAACTGTGACTCACTTAACTTCTTTAAGAATTTGGATGCTGTACCACTTGGTGCATATATGTTTGTTGTTGATGTTTTTCTTCATTATCTATGGTAGAATGAAGTAGAATGATGCCATATTGTGGAGGGACTTAAATTCCAGCCAGAATTTAAATTTTACTCAGGCAGTAGAGAGCCACCAAAGATTTTTTTTGTGTGCAGAGGTGTGGCATGAGCACAAAGAAAATTAATCTGGTAGCAATGTCAGGAATAGATTGAGAAGGGAAAAAAATGGAGATGGGAAAATCTTTTATGAGGCTATTTAATAGGCAAGGAAGGTAGTAGTAAAGGCCTAAATCAGGTTGATGACTGTGAGAATAGAGGAGAAGGGATATCAGTGACAGAGGTTATAGAAATATAAATGACACACCTTGAGAATTGATTAGATATGGGGATTGAGGAACTTTGAAAAGTCAAAGAGGGTTTCTGACAAAGTTGACTAGATGATGGATGGTACCATTGTTATGAATGGGGAAGTCAGAAAGGGAAGCAAATTTGGGGATAAAAGTTCTGATTTGAACAAAATGAATTTAAAGTACCAATGAGACAAACAGGTGAAGATACCCTGTGAACAATTAGAGTTGAAGGTCTGGTGCTCAGAATAGAAGTTGGGGCTGATCTGGGTCATTTGGGAATTGTTTGTGTAGAAATTATATTTGAAACCATCCAAGTGACTGAGCTTACTGAGGAGAGGATATAGAAAAATAAGAGAACTAAAAAGAGCACCAATATTAAGGGATCATGAAGAAGAAGAGGTCAGTGAAAGAGACATTCTTCTTGTTTTCTAAGAGACTTCTTGGTAATAAGCAACATACTTTGGGAGTTGTGTTCATTCTTTCAGATCACTAAAGTACCATTTAGTGTTTTATTATTACTGCCTCTTGTGGTGTGCAATAGTTAATGTGCCTTCCTAAACACGTTACTTGCTACCAAGGAGTAACTGGGTACTGAAGAGAACAATGTTCATTGAGTCAATTTTGTTAAAAATGCTCCAAATCCTCTGATGAAAGATTTAGTTTATAGATCCTGGCTTCCAAGCAGAGTTTGAGAAGCATAGCAGCTCAGCCCTGATACATCCACTACTTCACATGGTACTATCCGTAGTTTATTGTTAGAATGATTGCATTTGGCAGGGAAGGAGAGCTGGGTTTGAATTTCTTGGCATAGAAACATATACACATTTTTCTTCTGGTTGACTACTGCCTTGATAAAATAGGATGAACATGAATCAATCTCATTCCTTTTTAGGTCCATGTGGATGTTCACAGCCGTTACAACTCTGTTGCCAATGAGGCTTTTTGTCTCGAGATCTTAGATAGCCTGAGGAGATGCTTAGGTCAACAGGCTGATGTACGTCTCATGCTTTATGAGGTAAATAGATTTAATGACAGGGCTCAAATTTTTCCCTTGCCTGATAAACTTATTGAGCTATATTAAATCCAGCCATAATCTACCCTAGGGAATTTCGGAAGGGTTGATAGAAAGATCATTGACATTCATAATTAGGTACTCGGAACCAGAATGGGTGCTTTGCGCCTCTTACTTGGGATGAAGTATGAAGAATGTACCAAAGGGAAATTTACAGGAATCCCTAGTTATGAGGAGATGGGAGGCAGAGACTGAAGGCCAAGGGATATTTATTGTGAATGTTAAAGAAATGCCAACCTTGACAGAGAAATGCATCCCAATGCTAGAAGTGTTCCTTTGCTTAAGGCTAAATCTGGACACTGCTGTTTTAGGGAATTAGAGCTTAATGTTGTAGTCATTTGGCCTGTGGTCTCTTTGTGTATACACTGCGCATTGGGATGTATGGGATGTTCAAGGAGGACTGCTTCTGGTGTGATGGCTTGCTGAGCCCTTTTCAGGCCTTTTCATTCACCTTTGGTGTCTACCTGGCACTCAACTCTGACCTGTGACTCCAAGAAGCTATAGCATGTACAGCAGCGACACCCTGGTAAATCATCTTGGCAGATAAACTAAACCAGGTTGAAGGTAACCAACATGCCTCAAACTCATTGGTGAGGTAGGGGGTATCTACCCCAAGCATATGAAGACTTCTGCCAGTGCACTGGGTGGGTGAGAACAGTTTCGGTCCATTGGCTATGAAGGTGAGGAGCTTGGTCAGACGTCAGAGATGCCAGGGTCATCCACTGAATCCCAGGCCACCACCAGTCATCCTGACTTTTTTTTTGCCACGGGACTTCAGTGACTCTGGAAGACAAAGTGAGGCTGACGACTTTGTGCAACTCTGCCTCACTTAAATCCAATTTACCCACAAGTTAAGATATCATGATGTCATTGGTCCTCTTTAAAACGAATAACAAATAACATCTGCGTTAGAGTTCAATATTGGGCAAATGGGCATCTTTAACGTCCTCTAAAGGATAATATGGGGGTACAGGAGAGAATATACCTGGCATACTTAGTTTCTCAAAGAGAAGCAATGTTATATTAAACTGTTATCTTAGTCATCAGTTAGCTTTGTGATGGAGGTTCATGAGTTCCCTCTTTGACTTCTTTCAGGGTTTTTATGATGTCCTTCGAAGGAACTCTCAGCTGGCTAATTCAGTAATGAACACTCTGCTCACTCAGGTAAAGTATGTTTAGTGAATCAAAAGCAGATGCTTACAGGAAATTATTCAAGTGGATTGACCTTTTTAGGCTTTTCAAAGTCCAAAACATCAATTTCCAATCAGTGCATCTCAGCCCCATGTTATCTTGTACCCTACATGTGCAGTAATGTCCTAAGTTTCCTTCCCAGACCAAGCATTGTATTATGGCATTGTCTGCCAACAATCACTGCCCACAGATCTCAAATTATCTTAAATCCAAAAGTTCTGAAGTTCCTCTTATAAGTAAATTGTGTCATCAGGATTGAGTGGAAAACTAGTTGGGCAACAAAAATCATTTCATTTAACAATAAAAGTAGCAGAATGATGTGGTGGGAAAAGAGCTGGCCTGAGAGTCAGGAAATCTGGGTTTGGTCCTAGCTGTGCCATCTAGTCCCTGTGTGACCTGGGATAAATCATTTAACCTCATTTTTAGGTTATAACTTTGAATTTCCAAAGTCTAAGAATTTTCTGAAATGGAGTATGAACTTGGAAAACAAAATTTGTTTTGAAAACTCAGTTTATTTTTGAAATTATTACTTTATTTATAGCAGAATTACTGAGTTTTGCAGATACTGACCAGCAAAACAGTGATAGCTTGCAAGTGTGATAAAGTTAGCATTTAGGTTCTCAGAGTAAATAGACTCTTTTTTTTTTTTTTAGTTATTTTATTTTGATTTATCATCAATCATTTCCATAAGGTTCTGAGTTTTAAATTTTTCTCTTTCTTCCTCCCCACTTCCTTCCCCAAGACGGCGTGCAATCTGATATAGGCTGTGCATATACATTCCTATTAAACATATTTTCACATTAGTCATGTTGTAAGGAAGAATTAGAACCAGTAGGAGGAACCACAAGAAAGAGGAAACAAAACAAAATAGAAGGAAAAAAAGAGCAGATAGTATGCTTTGATCTGCATTCAAACTCCATAGTTCTTTTGTTGGATGTGGATCATGAGACTTTTGGAGATGTCTTAGATCCTTGCATTGCTGAGAAGAGCTAGGTCTATCAAAGTTAGTCATTGCACAACATGACTGTTGCTGTGTACAATGTTCTGCTGGGAAGTAAACACTTTGAGTTGGACTGGACTATAGAGGTCATGCAGCTCTTACCCTATCTAAACTATGACTCCCTTATGATAAGGTGGTTGGTCAGCCTCTTTTTGTCTTAGATGTTTTGGTAAATTCAAATTTTGAACCTCTATTTCTTTCTTGTAAAGTGAGTGGTTTAGATAAGATGATCTCTGAGGTCCAGGATCTAAATCTGCTGTATTGAGGGAAAGTTTCCATTCACTTTTTGGGAGGGATTCTTAACTGAGGGCTCTTTGAACTTAAAAAGTATGTATTTTGATAACTATTTCAAATAATTGGTTTCCTTTGTAATCGTATGTAATTTTATTCATTTAAAGCATTATTCTGAGAAGAGGTTCTTAGCTTTGCCAGTCTGCCATAGGGGTTCAGAATACAAAAAAGGTTAAGAACTGCTTTAGGAAATGGATTTTACTGCTTTGTTTTCCAGTAGTCACCAAGGAAATTCAGATGAGGAAGCCACATTGAAAATGAGTTCTATGAGATATGAGAAGACACTCCTAACCTATTCTTGAAGAGATGGGGGGTGTTAAGATTTTTTAAATGTATATGTCAGTTATGCTGATTTTTTTCTTCTTTTTCTTCCTTTTTTATTTTATTTTTTAAGGCAATTGGGGTTAAATGACTTGTGCAGGGTCACACAGCTAGTAAGTGTCAAGTGGTCTGAGGCCAGATTTGAACTCAGGTCCTCCTGAGTTCAGGGGCGGTGCTCTGTCTACTGCACTACCCAGTTGCCCTCCTTTTTTATTTTTCTTAAAAAAATACTATGTTATATGGGATGGTTCTTGGGGAGGGGGAACAATACTGAGAAAACTATAATGATGTAAAAATCAAAAGATTGGAAAAAAAATAAGATCTGTGATATCTAGGAATTGGCAAAAAATCAAAATATTAGAATGCCTTTGGATACCCATATATTTTCTTTCTCCTTTGGTAAAGATCTTAATCCTCTAAAAGAACCAGAGCTTTTTAACTAACTTTGTATAACAACCAACCTGATTCCATATACGTCTGAAAATTTAACAGTAATATTTGTTAATGATGATGTCATTAAAAGATGTTAAACACCCATATTACTATTAGCTTGACTATTATAACAAGTTGTAAGTTACAATATCTTTGTTTTTCTGCCACGCAGTTAAAACAGTATTATGAACCAAAACATGACCTGCTACCTCCATTGAAACTAGAAGCATGTATTCTGGCCCAGGGAGATCAGATCTTTCTTCAGGAACCTCTGGTAAGATCTTTATGACTTTTTTTTTGGCATGGCTTTTTTTTTTTCCATTAAAAAATATGAATTTTTTCTCACTTTAATGTCTCCTCTCCAAATTAGAAAACAAAATAAAACCTTGATTAAATATATGTATGTGTGTATATATGTATGTGTGTATGTATATATATACACACACACATATATATAGATAGATAGATAGGCATATATATTTAACCAAGTTGTATATGCATATATGAATATATATTTAACCAGGGTTTTATTTTGTTTTTTTAATAATTTATATGTATATATACATATGTATATATGGAGTCAAATGACACGGATTCCTGCATTGGCCCTGTCTAAAAATATGTCTCCTTCTGCATTTTGAATACTTCACTTCTCTGTCAGGAGGTGGGTAATATACTTCCTCACCAGCCCTCTGGAATCATAGTCATTGCATTGATCAGAGTACTTAAGTCTTCCAAAGTTGTTTGTCTTAACATTGTTCTTTATTACTTTTTGCCACCATTATTTTCATTGTTAAGCCTAGGATCATCCA